GACTTGCAGTTTTCACAAGTCGTCGAAAATATCACTTTTTACCAAAAATTACAAAAATATTCATCAAAATTAGAGAATTGAAGATATCATCATGAAATGAACAAATCATACTGTGTATGATCATATACCAATATCAATATATCTTTACATTATTTACATTGTGTATTTTGGGGTAAAGAACCCAACCACAAGGTAGGTGACTGTACTTTATTTAGGCCATTGCATTTCTGTATGACGTTTGGCGATTCTACCACACCATAATATTCACCGTATAATTTACATTGTGACACCAACAAAATTAGAGAATTGAAGATATCATCACGAAATGAACAAATCTGAGAAAGGTCCACATGTAATATCAAAGCAATTGAACTTACGGTTTTTAACAAGAAGTCGAAATTATCACTTTTTACCAAAAATGACAAAAATATTCACCAAAAATAGAGAATTTGAGATTTTGACAGGAAATGAACAAATCTGAGAAAGAACCATCCAAGGTACTTGCATATCAAATTTGAAAACATTCTGATTTGTGGTTTCAAAGAAGAAGTTGAAATTGTAAAGTTGACGACGATGGACAAATAGTAATATGAACAGCTCCGCTGTGTCGACATTGTCGACAGCGGAGCTAAAAATTTGAACATAATCAGTCAAAGCATATCAGAGAGATGGTTCTAGAAGCGCATTCATTAAAACAAAATGGCCGCCAGTCAGCGTCATAAAATGACGTGCATCAGGAACCCATAGTCTCTAACGTATGTACCAAGTTTGAACAAAATCCATCCATAAACACCAAGATCCAGTTCTGGAATGACAGAAATGCTTGATTTTTGATGAAGTCTAGCACAAAAATGACTGCCATTTGGCCATTTTGAATCAAATGGTCAAACCAATATATCTAGGTATGTCTGAGCTGCAGGTGACATTCAGACTAACTGATCTGAGGGTGAACCACTTGATGAGTTTAAAACCATGCCACATTTTTCGTGAAACATTTGAAACTAAACTTTGTCAAATTCATAGCCAAATAAAATTTCTAAAAACACCTAAGCTTTGACATTGTGAAGGGACCAGGGCATCTGAACATACAGATGGAGCTTCTAGGCAATGCTTCCATGGTCACTATGAATTTTGAGCCCTAGCATACTCTCCACAGTAATTATATTACATGTACCTTGAACACACTGTGGTATATGTGGCCGCCATTCACCTTTCTGACATCTAACAGTCCCATTTGAAGGAGATTGCTGAAAACCTTGATCACAGGTAAATGTAACATCAATTCCAGGTGCGACCTCCCAACCTCGTATCACGCTATAATCATAAGTCACTCCAATGAGTAGCGTACACTTAGCTGTGAAAAAAATGTTACGCAATTCTGAAAAGAAATCTGATATATACCAAGAAGGCAAACTTGCATAAGTTTATCTACATTCAGGCTGTATTTGTATGCCTCTCAGTCAAAAGATAACAAAATAGTCAAATTACATGTATCAATGAGATACTGAAGATGCATCAAACTGATAGTAAACTGTGAGTATTTAAACACATTTTTTGTCAGATATAATAACCCTAAAACACAGACTACTGTATTTCACATTATAATTGTGAAAGGAATTAAGCTGCATGTACATGCATTAAATACATAATTACCTTCAACGCATACAGGAAGTGTTCTGCTCCATAGGCCATAGTGACATAAAATATTGATAAAATCCTCATTTGCAGAATCCTGTATTTGATATCCCTCTTCACAACCATAATTTATACTGCTGCCATGGGCTATTTCATTAGTATTCACTGTACTATGCGCAGGTAGTTCACTGTCTGCTATCGAACAAGAGGCTGACAAGAAATAAGATGTAACAAAAACAATGAGCATTGGAAGAAGAATTCAACTTGATGTTTGAGATAACTAATCACTAAATTAAGATAATTGTTATAATATAATAACCATACACTATACATGATATCTACATTGTATACATTAGTTATTCTAGGGAATAAATGTATTTATGTACATTCCCTTTATCTTGCTCCACTCACAATGGCTAAACACTTCAGTGGACCTATGGTTCATTGAGCCAAAAACCTGTACATATGTGTTTGAAAATGTTATGAATATGTTCCAACGTTAAGATTTGTTAACAAGACGTGCATTTGTACCAACAATGCAGTCCTACTAATTAACGCGCTGGTATGCATTGGAGTGTCCGGACACGCACAGGGACGACACACGGGTCAGCGACAGAAATTCTCGCACTGTATAATGTTCATACACTACAAGGATTGCTGCTGCTGACCTACGCGTCATATATTTCTGTCATTCATCCTCGCAAATGTCTGGACATACCCATGCACGCTCGCGCATATGCAACAGCGGCCGGGACAGCACCAGTGCAGCGAACGACAATGGTATGTGCAGTAGTTTCAGTGACGTCATCCATGTGATATACCCATGTAATATCCACTTGGCGGGCAAGATACCATGTAATATCCGTTTTTATTCAATGTCATGTGACAGAATCTCAACCAATCACAGCGTGCGTAACAGCAGTGAGATAACAGATAAGTTGGCTTAAAGGGAAACTAAATAGAGCCTAATTTGGTGTTTGTATTTATCAAGTTATGTATATTGATTATAAATTTGAAACAAAAAATTTTAAAAAATGATTATCTTCAGAGTTATGATGATTTAAATATGAGAAACCATAAACCTGCGAAGGACTTCCGATTGCGCCATCTCGCCATAAAAATGCCCTAATGAGGTATAAACAGGAAAGGTAACAAAGAATGATGACGAAATAGTATCTGATTAAATATAAACAACTCAGGGAGCCATTGTTGGCTGGATTGGTGAACTGACTTATAGTCTAGGTTGTTTCGACTTTTACGTTAATATTATTTACAAGTGTATCAACATACAAACATTATGAATGTGCGATTGATCGAGACAGGCATTTTTTTTTTTTTCTAACTGTCCAATAAATGCTCTTTCCAGTACTGCACTGTGCGTGCAAATTATTTCAAAGTCTGGATGCTGGAGTATGCAATCTTGAGTTTGTAGGGTAGTGGTGGAAACATTTTCGTCCATGTATTCACGGGGCTGCACTGGCAAATCATGGGACAATTGTCACAGGAACACCAAGCAGATTGTTCACAGACTTCCGTGTAATTTGAAATAAAAATATCATCCAAACAAGGGGCATCGTCGACGATATACTCTTATCACTCACACTGGACTGATCTGCATCTTCACAGTATACCGTACTTCCCTGATCATAAGCCCGGAGGCATGAACACGTAAGGGAAAAGTAAGGAATGAGCTTATACTCGAGGACCAACTCAGAAAAGATTATTTTGTTTTGGGGTTAAACACTGTAACCATCTTGCCAACAAAGAACATAGTTGAACTCTGGTGACCTTGCCCTTTGTTATATAATATAATTCCCTTTATCATAGTTTGTTTCAATATAAATATGCATTGTCATAATTAATTTTGAATACAAACAAGTTTTGGGGTTGAACCAACAGTGGGGAATCAGTTTACCGAATGTCCTTTAAAGATGTAAATATCTTACAAAAACATTGGTGCCTTATTTGTTTAATTATTTTAAGGGACGTAATTTCCAGC